CCGAAGGGGCGAGCTTAATAATCCCGGGGAGTGAAACCGTTGAGAATCAACCAATCACAATTGAGATTTTGGGGGTGTGTCTTCTCCTGATGCTCGTAGCAGTTTCCTTAGAAATAGTTCGACTACGGATCCAGGCCAAATGCCGGGAGGTTACATTTTCGCGCATTTTATCACAGATTCAGATCGATCAAGAAATGCTAAGTTCAAGTCAGAGAAAAGTGGAAAATTTAGTATTAGATGGTTACAGTGTTTTTATTTCTGGAGAAGCTGGTAGTGGAAAATCCTTTTTCCTTCGGTCAACGATCAAGAAACTCAAAGAAGCTTTTGGAAACCGTGTAGCTGTAGCTGCTGCTCCTACAGGAAATATGCTCACAAGTCTCTTTCCAAACGTGGCTTTATCCTCACAACTGATTATTTCAATAGCGCATTGATCCGCGTAAGCTTCGAAGGCTTCATCGACAGAAAGAACATTTCCTTCAGACATAATTAAAGAATCTAATTAATTCTAAAACGAGAAAGAACAAAGATAGTAGTTCCCCTTTGATTTCTACAGAAATCAATCGAAAGAGGATTTGTAGGTCATTTTGATGTGATTAGTGTATTAGTTGGGCGGCCTATGATTTTAGTGGGAAATTTCTTGATACATTCTCCAAACTAATCCGAAATGCAAATTTCCCGCCAAAAGTTTTAGCGCAGAACTGCAGAACAATTAATTGGGCGGCCTTTGAAGGCCACAACTTAGGTCGAATACTCATTACTTTAGGTGAGCACAAATTTGTTGGCCTCCAAGAATGGTCTAGGTTCATTCGATATCAGACTATCGTTTTAGACAAAAGCTCCAGCAAGCTTGAATACACTAGCTAATGCACGATTTGATTTAATTGAGAGAGTAACAAATGAGCTGAATGGTAAGTATTTTTTCTGTGACAACATTCAGTTACAGAAAAATTAACGGCATGAAAATGTTTGAAAATGTTTTACATGTAAAATGTGAAATTATTTGTCATTGTATTCTTACGTATCAAAATATGGATACAGAACTGCTGCAAGTTATAATTACAACCCATATACATAAAATGATTCTACAAATCAGTTTATTGGTGATGTAAGCATTATAAATGCAATCTATATTGCATTATGGCATTCGATACAAGAGACCAAAAGTTAATAGTTATCTAACATTAGTAGTTAACTGACTTTTGGTCAAAAATATAGTAGTTAATTGACTTTTGGTCAAAAATATAGTAGTTAACTGACTTNGTTTTGATGGAACTTGATATCAAGGCTTGGCAATTCTCTTGTTCCCCCCTCTTCGTTTCCCAAAACAATACTGTAAAGAACCAGCGAGCTTCTAACAAGTGTATCCGATCTCCAGCAACTTTTAAGGTTTGAGGACAGGGGCACTGAAATAGAATACCTACTGTTGTATGCTCAAACATGCTTCTTTTAGTCATGATTTGTAGCTGGGTAATTTCCAAAGAGAACCCGCTTCAAGTTATCAATTGCAAATTGTATATATTCAGTATTTCAACAATTTTTCACATTTTTAAGGATCAGTACAAATTTGTGTATTTGGCCGTGTATGAGGCTCTGGCATGTGGAAACACAGAAATTCAAGTTGAAAACCTCAACATTGCAATTAGAAACCTTTCAAAGTTTGACAACAGCACAAATCAAAGTTTCTTTATGCAAGAGTTTCAGGTAGGAACATGACATTTACAGCAGACAAGAAAACCGTATGTGAAGCCAACTCTTTATTCTCCTCTTAGCGTTTGAATGCTGTTACAAGTACGGAGGGAAGTTCTATTGGTAGGATATTGCAATATATAATATATAAGATGTCAGAAGTACATAACATATGTACTTCTGAAGATGTTTAATTGACCAGAATAAGAAATCTGTTTTCTGAATACTACAGATGATCACAGACGCGTCAAATTGAACAACAAAGAAAAAACAGGAGAATACATCAATGCAACATATGTAGACGTAAGGAAGTTAATACAAATTGAAGTTAAATGACAGACAGACAGATGACTCCGTGACTTTTCAATGTTTTCTTCAGACTTACAGAGAACGAAACGCCTACATAGTAACCCAGGCTCCCACTTGTAAAACGGTTGAAGAGTTTTGGAGACTGGTGATAGACCACGGTATTGGAACCATTGTAATGTTAAACAAATTGCAAGAAAACAACCAGGTAAAAGAAAAATGTGGTGATGTGTATGTCATATCTGAATGCTGTTGAGCTTATCATTTGCATGGGTGTAACCATGATGAGCAAGGTTGCTGGACGCAATGCCATATCTTGCAAACGATGTCTTGCAGTGAATATACCAATTCTGCAGACAGTAAGAAAGTTTCCATTTTTCATGAAGCATCTGTACGAATTGCTAGATAGAATGTCACTTCAAAAAAAAAAAAATATATATTCAGCAAGTATAAACATTCCGAAGCGCAGCTAGTCTGTTTCCAGTAGTATCATTTCCATTCCTCTTTCGGGTAACGATACCAAATACGATTTAAGTGTGTAGCCTTGTTTTCACACCCGATAGTCACGGTATTTCTTCATGTAT